GGGGAGGGGGCGGAGGCGCGGCTGCTGCTCCTTCTGTCCCCGCTGGTCTGCACGGCGTCCCCCCACCCCTGCCCGCCGCAAGGTCCCGTGTCAGCCCAAGCCCGGGGGGTGCCTTTGCACCGGCTGTGAGAAGTGCCTTCTCCCGGGCTTTGCCCTGGCCAGTGGGCCGCTACCCTGCGACCCCCAGCACTATGGCTCCCGACCCAGCGCCCGCACACACCCACCTGCCACAGCGGAGCTTGCCCCACGCCCTAGAGCGCCCGTTGGCCTCTTGCTCCCCCCTCCCCGGGTCCTTGCCCCAGGCAGGCACCCTCGCCCCAATCTCACCGCCTCTTCTAGGGGGCTCTGCTCTCACCCATCTAACCTCCAAGAGTCCTCTGGCTTCCCCGTCCACCTGACTTTCCGCCTGCTCCCTCTAAGGCACTTTGCTCCTCACCAGGTGCCCCTCCCTAACTTCCTACGCGTTTGATCCAGGTGTCTCTGCCCCACACCTGCGGACACCGGTGTAACCCCTCTCCATCCTCTTCCGGTCGCTGCCCTTTGATCGATCGCCCACCCCGCCCTTCTCTTCCCACTTGCTCCCCTTGGGGGAAGGGTCTGTTCTCAACGACGAACCCCTCCAAGTCCCTCACCGTGTCTTCCCGCCCATTCTCAGGACTCCTCTCGGGCCTCGCGGCCTCGCTGTCCACCCTCAGCCCCCATGGTCCCAGGGCCGGGCCCTGCCCACAATAGCACCCCCGACGGGGGGTCGGGGCCGGCGTCGGACCCCGGTGGCAGCGGCTGGGTCGCGGCCGCGCTGTGTGTGGTCATCGCGCTGACAGCGGCGGCCAACTCGCTGCTCATTGTGCTCATCTGCACGCAGCCGGCGCTGCGCAACACGTCCAACTTCTTCCTGGTGTCGCTCTTCACATCGGACCTGATGGTGGGGCTGGTGGTGATGCCGCCCGCCATGCTGAACGCGCTGTACGGGCGCTGGGTGCTGGCGCGCGGCCTCTGCCTGCTGTGGGCCGCCTTCGACGTGATGTGCTGCAGCGCCTCCATCCTCAACCTCTGCCTCATCAGCCTGGACCGCTACCTGCTCATCCTCTCGCCGCTGCGCTACAAGCTGCGCATGACGCCCCTACGCGCCCTGGCGCTCGTCTTGGGCGCCTGGAGCCTCGCTGCGCTCGCCTCCTTCCTGCCCCTGCTGCTGGGCTGGCACGAGCTGGGCCGCGCGCGGGCACCCACCCCGGGCCAGTGCCGCCTTCTGGCCAGCCTGCCCTTCGTCCTCGTGGCATCAGGCCTCACCTTCTTCCTGCCCTCGGGCGCTATTTGCTTCACCTACTGCAGGATCCTGCTGGCCGCCCGCAAGCAGGCCTTGCAGGTGGCCTCCCTCACCACCGGCACAGCCGGCCAGGCCTCGGAAACGCTGCAGGTATCTGGGGTGCGCAGGGAGACCCGGGCTGTGGGATGGAGAGGAATGAGCAGCCATTGGGCGCCTAAGGGGCGTCCACCACTTAATAGACACTTGCTGGCCATCTCCAAGTGGCCATTCCCAGCTCCCACCTTTCTTCTGAACTCCAGCCTCAGTGCCCGTCAGGATGCGAGGCAGGCTTCCGGAAGGTAACACGCAACAGGGAATTCGTGGTGTTCCAACTCTCCCACCTGCTCCTCTTCTGTCTTCCCCGTGGTGGAAAACAGCACCATCACGGCATCACGCCAGAAACGTAGGGATTCATTAGTGAAAACTGCTGGTGGTGCCTCCTAAACATTTGCCATCTCCAGTGCCACCTTCCTAATCCAAATCACCATTGCTCTTACCTGGGAGTCTCTGAGAGTCTTCCACTGGCTCCCTCTGCTTTCACTCCGGACACACTCCTATCCATTTTCTGCACAGGAGCCAGAACAATTAAAAAAAAAAAAAAAGTGATCACATCACTCCCTTGCTTCAAACCCTTCAGTGGCTCCCCACTGCTGTCAAGATAAAGAGGAGACCCAAGTCAGGATCCTTCCCCCTGCCTCTCTCTGCACCAGCCAAGAGGCCTTTCTGGCGATTCCTAGAAAGCGCTAGACTGACTTTGTGCCAAGGTCTTGGCACTTGTTCTCTCTGCCTGAAATGTTTTCCCCCGGAGCTGCCCACAGATCGCCCCTTCCTGGAGGCCGTCCCTGACCACTCTGTCGGCAGACCCGCCTGTCCCCCGCCCTGCTATTCCCTAGCTAAGTCCCCAGTGTATTTGCTCATGATCTGTTGCTCCCACTCGAATGTAAGCTCTGTGATGGCCGAGTGTACTGAAGATGAGGTAGGCCCTGCAGTGTCTACCTCCCCCCGGAGCTGCCCACAGATCGCCCCTTCCTGGAGGCCGTCCCTGACCACTCTGTCGGCAGACCCGCCTGTCCCCCGCCCTGCTATTCCCTAGCTAAGTCCCCAGTGTATTTGCTCATGATCTGTTGCTCCCACTCGAATGTAAGCTCTGTGATGGCCGAGTGTACTGAAGATGAGGTAGGCCCTGCAGTGTCTAGAAGTGGAGCACCTGCTCTTGTCACCCAGGCCACACAGCGCCCACCTGAGGGATGGGGTTTGAGACTGACCAGGCCTGAGCCCCAGAGAATTAGGCCCTGAGGAAGGTCCCGACTGGGCTCTCGAGGTTTATCTCGGTGTAGCTCAGGTGGAAGATGCTTCTGCAGGATGGAGGGGTGCCTTGTGAGTCACTGGGTGGATGGGAAATTGGCTGAGGGCTGAAAGGCTATCACCCTTGTCGGCAGTCCCCTGGAGCAGCTTCTCTCTCCCACCTGGTGTTGCAGCTGGCCTGTGGACAAGGAGAGCATGGCCCTGGGTGGGCAGGAGGTCCTGGCTGCAGGCCTGCTCTCTCCCCCATCTCTGTTCACTGGAGAGCATTCTTGAGTCTCAGCAGGTGGCTGTGACCCCGACTTTGTTCTTCAGTGGTAGGATCACTGCCACGGGCCATCCCCACTCTCTCTGGGTTCTCGTTAAGGACCATTTCCCAAACTTTAGGCAAAAGGAACCACCTCGGGCTCTCTGGCTTACTATTCCCTCCACCCGCTTCCCCACACACTCCTCAAGCCGCTTCGTGCAAATGTACTTAGCATTTTATTTGAATCATCTCACTTATTTTTTTACTTCCATGGATTTGTTTAGGAAGAAAACCTTTCTTGTCCAGAAATGGAAAATCAATATCTTTTCCGTAAATAGAAAGTGATCAAACTCAATTTCAGTGAGGTTGCAGAACCCGGCAGTATTAATGAAGTCCAGTTGGGATGGTTGACGTGACTGAGCCAAGGCTGCTTCCTTTTCGTGAAGTGCTAGACGGATGCTAAAGGTGAGGTAGCATCGACACGAGACTTGGTCATGATGTAACCAGAAGACCTGGACGAGAATTATAAAGGGCTAAGGTTCCCACTCTGTGATTCGGTTATTTTATGGGGCGTCCATCTACCATCTCAAATCATCTCCCATTGCACTGCGGGAAGCTCTGCTCTAGGGACTAAGGTTGGGAGAAGTCGGCTGGTCTTGGTGAGGTCAGGGTGGGAGGCGTCTTGATTCTTGGATCCAGGAGAGTCTGTGACACACAGATATCCTTTCCATAAAGTTACTTGGCTGGTACCAGGATTAGATCTGAGCTGGAGGCCTCAGAACCTGGGCAGGTGTTCCCCACGTGCTATTAGGCTCAGCGCTACAGTCTTTGAGCATTCACTATGTGCCAGGAGCCAAGCTGAGCTAATCCCCAAACACCCAACGAGGCAAGTACTACCGTCATCCCTGTTTGACAGATGGGGAAACTGAGGTTCAGGGAGAGGGGTGGTGACTTGCCCAAGGTCACACAGTCGGTTAGTGAGGTTCAAGCTCAGATCGGACCGATGCTGAAGCCTCAGTCCGTGTGTGTGGCACTGCCTTTGGCGGTGACGCTCTGTTAAAACACTGCCTCAGGGACACCACCTTGTGTCCTTCTACTTCACAGGCTGTGCCTTCTCAGTCTCCTCTGTCTGGTGCTCCTGATCTGCCCCCAGCGGTGGCATCCCTGGGCCTCTGTCCTCCGACCTCCTTGCTCTTTTTCCACATTCAATCCCTGGCGAGTTCATCTTGTCACCTACACGCTGGTGGCTTCCAGCCCGGGCTGCTTCGTTAACAGGCCCCAAACAGAACTTGGGTTTTCCGGGCCCCAGCCCTCGTCCTTCCTCACAATCTTCCTCTTATCAGTTAATGACAACTCTGTGCTTCTAGTTGCTTAGGCCAGGAACCTCGAAGGCAGCCTGGGCACCTCTTTTACACCCCACATCGTGTCCTCTTATCTCCACGTCCAGTACATGGGGCCACTTCTCGCCTCCGTCACTGGCCCCCGGCCCTGGGCTGGGCCCTTTCGCCTGCTGCCTGGGTTACTGCAGAAATCTTCCACTGACTTCCCCATTCTATTCTTGCTTCCTTTCAGTCTTACGGAGCAGGCAGAGCAATCCCTTTAAAACCTAAGTGCTGTCATGTCGTTCTTCTGCTCCCATGGCTTTGCATCTCATGTCACCCAGCCCTTTGCTTCTTCTCTGGCCTCTTCTCCTTCCTTATTCTTTCTCTTTTAGCCACGCTGGCCTCCGGGCTGTTCTTCGAGCCACAAGCACACTCCTGCCTCAGGACCTTTGCACTGGCTGTTCCTTCTGCCTGGAGCGCCCTTTTCCTACAGCTCCACGTGCTTCTCTCTGCAACTTCCATCCCTTTTCCCAGCCTCTGCTCAGTTGTCGACCAAAAGTAGCAACCGCCACACTCTCCCAGTTCTCCTCCAGCCCTAAGTTTCTGAGCCTCTGTTCTCAGCAGCACCTACCACCACCTGACATGTTAGATACTTTCCCATTTGTTTATCCATTGTTTATTTCCTCCCACTAGAATGTAAGCTCTATGAGGGCAGGAACTTGTCACTTTGTTTATTGCTATATTCCCAGGACCTGAAATTGCACCTGGCATATCCTAAGTGCTCAATGCATGTTGATGGAAGAAATGAAACGAACACAGTGCTTCACAGAGCTGGCGAGTCAATCCCTGTTTACACTGCTTCCTTTCTTCCTACCCCTTTCACGATCAGGTCTTGTATCTGGTGGATCCTATGCTTTTTAGTACATGTGTTGAGGACCTTCTTTGTGCAGGAGCTTTTCTAGGCTGTGGACACCGGGGTGAACAGGACTGAGAAGGTCCTACCCGCTCGGGATCTGTGTTCTAGTCGGGGAGACATTGATCACGAAATCTTGTCACGATGAGGGTTATCGAGATTATAAGAGGGATGCCTCACCCAGTGAATATTCAGAAACTATCATTCGATGTGTGTCTGTTTGCAAACTGAAGCAAAGAGGGCATAATGAGCCCTAAAACCAAATGCTGGGAGGAGTCTTCATGGGTCATGTAGGCCAGCACCCTGCCTCCGAGGCAGAATGACCCATGGGCCCCTCAAGCCAGAGTGTGTCTATGCTAAATCCTCCCACTCTTTGGAAAGACTTTTGGTTAGAATGTGGCATGTCAGACCCTGCCCCTACCCTGCTTCCCAAACCGCTCGGCTCCGAAGCAAGCCTTCTGTGCCCGTTTTCCATATTGCCCGGAGAATTGCCTGTGGTTTGGGAACTTGCTTCTGGGACGTTGCCTTCACTTTGGTCTCCTGTGTCGTGACCCTTTTCCTCCCACTAGAGTTGGCATGGGGGAGGCTCTCTCAATACCTAGACCTAAAGGAACTGATAAGAATGAACAACACTCGGGGTGCATTGGACCCCTTTCCTCCTGTTTTAAACCCTATTTAGCCCTTAGCTCCCTTTCCCAATCCAGCCTCTAGCTCCCCCACAGAAGGAAGAGAGTTGGGCACAGGTCCCAGAAGTCCTTGCATCTCTGGGGTTGAGGACGTGGGAGCTGAGCAGGCTTGAGTGTTTTATCTCCCCACCCCCGACAGCCGCCTATTTATACGAGCAGGCTTTTAAAAGGCCACTGGTTGGCTCCGTGGTTTCAGCCACGTCTTCCCTGCCCCAGGGGCTGTGAGAAAGGGGGTCATGCTTATAGCTGAGGCAGGGACTGTGGGCTGGGGATGGAGAAGGGGTGTGGGAGGTGGTTTCAGAGTGAGATGCTTCCAGGGTGGGAGACGCAGAGGCAGAGGCAGAGGCAGAGGCAGTGGCAGAGAGAGAGAGAGAGAGAGAGAGAGAGACGTGTGCCCGTGTGGGAATGGGGCTCATCCTTGGGAGGGTCAGCCTGGTGGAAAGCAGCAGCAGGAGGCCAGGCTGGGGGTTCCGCTTTCTTAGCTTCTCTCTGTCTGGCAGGATTCCCGTGTTTCCGGGGTCTATAGCCCTCTTCCCACCATCCTCTTCTGTACCTCATGTTTCTCCCCTTCTCCCACCCGTCTCTCCCTCAATTCCATCTCACCCTATTCTCTTCCTTCCTTCTGCACCCTTATCATCCTCTCTTCCTTCTTTTCCATCAATTTCTTCTCCTTCCCCTCCTCCCACCACCCCACCGCCTTTTCCCACCACCCCACCGCCTTTTCCAACTATGCATCATTCTGTCTTAGCAATCCACCTTCCCTTCCATCTCTGCTTCCTCCTCCTTCTCCTCCTCCTTAGAGGAGGAGGAGGCTGTGATCACAGACATATCTCAGAGGGGAAGGAGAGGGCTGCACTGGGGAGAGGCTGTCAGAGGAGCAATGTCGAGCATGGCAGGCTCGGCTGCTGCTGGAAACAAGGTGACTTGGTGCAGCCAGGCTGGGTGCAGGACCTTGTGTGTCTGGCTGGTCATAGCTTCAAATCCTGCCTCTTTTCCATCATGTCCAGATGACTATGGACAAGTCCCTCACCTCCCTGTACTCCAGGGGAAATGCTATTTATCACTTGAGGCTGTTTGAAGAACCAATGAGATAATCTACGTAAACCTGGCACATAGTAGATGCTCAACAAATGTTAGTTCCTCTCCTTTCTTCTCGTGGTAAAATATATGGTTCTGAGGAGCTCACCCCTTTTAAGGCTTTCTAGGAAAAAAAAAAAGCCACCATCGCTGCCACCAGCATCATCATCACCATTATTAAAGAGCTAAACTGGACACTAATAACAATGAGTAACAACGGCAACATAGCTAACACTTATGTGGTACATACTATGTGCCAGGCACTGTTTGAGTAACTCTATATTATCTTACTTAACCTTTACTACAGTCCTCTGAGGTAAATGCCATTCTGAGTGTCATTTTGCAGGTGAGAAATCTGAGGCACAGCGAGGTGAAAGACCTCGCTGAAGGTCCCTCGGCTAGTTGGTAACAAAGCCATGATTTGAAGCCAGGCAGTCTGGCTCCAGAGTCTGCCTTGTAACCCTCACACTATGATTAGATGATTATAAAGATTTTAAATTACACAGGGAATGCGCAAGCATATTTTAAAATAAAAATTCAAACAGAGAGATGGAAGACCTCTCCGACTGCCATCCGGTCACCTTCCTCTGCCAGGGACACTCGTTAATTTAGCATATGTCTTTCCAGTCCTTTTCCGATATGTTCATATATCTGTTTACATACCTAAAGAAATTTAGTGTTCTGTGCATTAAAAAAAAAAAAAAAACCAAAAAAAAAAAAAATGGAATCATGCTGTGTTGTTTTACAACTTGTCATTATTGCTTAATAGGTCTTGGAGATCTTTCCATTGGATTGGTTTATTCTTTTCGACATCTGTGTAGTATTCTGTAGTGGGATGTACCATGATTTTTAACCACTCTCCTTTTGATGGACATTTAGGTGGTTTCCATTTTTTTCCTATCACAATGGTGCATATTCTTGTGTGTGCCACGTGCGTGGGCATGTGTGCAGGTGTTTATAAACATAGGAGCCTGTAAGCAGAATTGCCTCCTGAAAGGACACTGCCAAATTGTCCTCCAGGTGGCTGCCCTCTGACAGTGACGTGTGTCATAGACATGTGTAAGGGACACGCAAACAACAGAACATGGTCACGAGGGGCTGCGAAGTGGCTACGGGGCAGGGAGAAGTAGGGAGGCGGAAGTTAGCACTAGGGTGTGGGCTGGTGGTTACCACTGGCTTCTGTTCCATGAAGGCCTCTCAGTGACAGAGATGGGGTTTCTGTAACCCCACCCCGACTGTGGCCCATGGGTGCCGTCCCCACAAATGGAAGCAGCATGGGAAAGTGGAAGAATTGGTTTCTGGAGCCAGAAATGACTTTGAATCCATGACTCAACACTTATCTGTTGTGTAACTCCCTGAACCTCATCTACAAAATGGGGATAATCCCTAACTTCCATAAAGACTGAACGGCATAACGAATATCAAATGCTGATGCATAAGTAAGTGCTCAATCAATGGGGATCATAGCGCTGATTTGGGGTCTTGGTCTGAGGCCTTGTACTAGCCCAATGTGACCCTGGGAAGGTCCTCTACTTTCTCTGAGCCTCAGTTTCCTTCTCTCTTCCCCTTTGCCTGTGTTCTTGGGTCAACTTTTTGGGGAGAAGAGGAGAAAGAAAACCCAGGGTTCTTCCCAGGAAGATTAGAGAGGGAATCTCAGATTATCTTTACTCCGTCTCTGGAGCTCCCTGCCCTGCCGACTGCCCCAAAGATATCTCCCCAAGTGCCTCAGTTCCCCAGTGCCCTAGAGCTCTGACAAAGTCAAGGCTCTCTCTTGGCTTCCCTCTTTCAGGTAGTCAGGGGCCAGAGGGGTACCTGTATGGGTGGGGCCTTCTGGAGACAGTGGCTCCCCACTTCCCTATTGTCTGTCCCCACTGATGGCAATTCGAAGCCATGGCAAACCTTGAGATTATTTTGAAGCAGGAGCTTATCCTCTAGGCTGACCACGATGGGGCCACAGAAGCCATATGGAGATCACTCTGGAGGAGAGAACATGAGAGGAGAAGAGAGAAAAGCAGATCTCCTTTTCCTCCCCTGCTACAGCATGTTGAGTCAGAGCATTTGCCCTGACGTCTATGCTTCTTTGGGGAGCCAGAGCTGCTGGCAGAAGGACAGGGCTCCCAAGGGTGCTAAAATTTCTCTAACCTCATACATACACCATTGAGCCAACATCAGGGGGACCAAGTATTTAGCTTTTACTCTGCTTTAGGCACTGTGCGTGCATTTATTATCCACGGCCTCACAGCAACTCCATTGGTGAATATTATTTCTCACACTTTACGGATGTGGAAACAGAGACTCATGCAAGATCACAGAGTAAGTGAGTGGTAGAGGCATGATTTGAGGTCAGATCACTTGTGTTAAAAAGCCTCTTGCTTCTAAAAACTCTTGCTTCTGCACAGTGCTGCCCCACTAAGACACAGGGGAGAAAGCAAAGGGCTCTCTTTGGCTGGTCTTCGTGAATTTGCCCTTGATATTCATATAACCAGACTTCACCTAGATGAACACACTGAGGGCTGGGAGTTACAGTGTGCTTCAGCTCCCGGCTCCTGCCCACGGCCACCCCAGAGTTAGACCCACGATCCTATAGAAAGATAGTACGGAGCTGGAGTTTCAGCACCATGGACAGGAAACCAATTCCAGCTACCCTGGGGAGGCGGGGAGGGAAGGGCAGGGCTCGAAGAGGAGCTTCTGCACCTGGGAGAGGGGTGGGGGGTTTGGCTTTGGTGCTTTCTGGAGCTGACACATCTTGGCTTTGCCTCCTCCACCCCCTTACCATCTGCGAAGGTTGCCAGGGAATCTGGTTCCCTTCCTGCCTGCTCCTGATTCTTTCAACCACCCAACCCACCACTGGTTGCTTCATGAACTAAGCTGGGCTCTCACGCAGCTTAGAAAATGTTGGGAGGAATTCCTGATTTTCAAAGCCCAGATGTGTTCCCTGGCAGCGCACACACCCTTTGCATAGCTCGATGAATTGTGCATACCTCTGCACACCAATATTTAATTAAATCGTGAATATTGGTGGGTCTCTCTTTGTGTCTTATGTATGAAAATTCAAATTGTTTACAGCACATGGTTTAGAGGAGGACTTCACATTCCAACTTTCATGGACCCTTAGGGGTTCATGGATGGACTGCAAGGTGGTCTCAGAACCCTCAGGAAGTGTGGGAATTATTTGTCACGTGTGTGTGTGTATGTAAAAATTTATAAGCTTTTAGTTTTCTGGGGAGCAGTTTTATAGATTTCATTAGATCTCTAATGGGCTCATGAGGTTGAAACGTTATGGGAACTGCTGGGTTAAAGTGCCATCTAGTTTGGAGAGCCTGTCTATGTTTGGGGACTGCTAGTCACCTGGGTGAAAAGTCAGACTCTAAGCTCCTCATCCCCATATCCTCCTTTCTATGGCTCCTGTGAAGCAGCTTCTTTCTCCTCCTTCTCCACATTCCTGACCTTGGAGTCTGTGTTTGGGAATGGAGATGTCTGCCAGTCCACCACATAATCTGAGTTGTAAAATGCCAAGGTCACTAGCACCCCTAATAATTTGCAATAGAGTTTATTGTAAACATTTGCTCTTTGCAGATGTTTTAAAAAAATCACTTTATATTGTGGAGCATGAGTGTAATAGTGCAAGCAAAAACCTCACTCCAAAGTATGCAGAGAACCCATATACAAAGAGATTGCCAAGCCCTGGACAGCGACAGGGCCTTTTTTGTCAAGTACTCAATTGCAGCTAATTCTTGTGGCACCAAAGGCTTTGAGAGGTGCTGGGACTCACAGTTGTGTGTGTTGGCCTCCATAGAGTTGACCTTCGCATAGAGGGTGGATTCTTTGAACTGGGTGATATCTGTTTGGGGCAGTGTTTCTCTGTCTTGCCGTATTTCCTAGGGCTCCTTGTGAAGTGCTGGGTCAGGATTAAGGCTCAGTCTATTGTTGGGGTCAGGGCACAGTCTTGGGCTAAGTCTGGTCCAGGATTGAGGCTCAGTTTGAGACCTTGGTTATATAGGGCTCAGTCTATGGTAGGTATCAGGGATCAGACTGGGACCATCAGCAGGGCTTGGTTTATTGCCAATGTCAGGGCGTAGTCGGGAGTCAGGGTCGGGCCTCAGAGCCAGACTACAGTTTGGGCTCAGTCAAGGATGAGGGCTCAGTTTGTTGCTGGTACTAGGGTTCCATCTAGAATTAGGATGAAGGCTCGGTCTGGGGCTGAGATCAAGGTCAGACTGGGGCTCTTTCTCAGCTGACTCATGTGGCTTTTCTTTCTGCAGGTGCCTGGGACCCCACACCCAGGGCTGGAGTCGGCTGACAGCAGGCGTCTGGCCACCAAGCACAGCAGGAAGGCTTTGAAGGCCAGCCTGACACTAGGCATTCTGCTGGGCATGTTCTTTGTGACCTGGTTGCCCTTCTTTCTAGCCAACATAGCCCAGGTAATGCCACTGCAGGGGGCAGGTGAGTCTAGGCCTTCCTAGGGAGGCCCTAAGTCCCACCCCAGCCCAAACATGGGGAGGGAGGAGGGTGGGCTGCCTCTCATGGTGTACGTGTTTGTGTCTATCCCAGCCCTGCTGGGTGGGGTGGTCTGCGTCTGTCCTGGGACCAGGCGTGATGCACCCCATCCCTCCAGGCCGTGTGCGACTGCGTCTCCCCAGGCCTCTTCGATGTCCTCACGTGGCTGGGTTACTGTAACAGCACCATGAACCCCATCATCTACCCACTCTTCATGCGGGACTTCAAGCGGGCCCTGGGCAGGTTTCTGCCATGTCCCCAGTGTCCCCAGGAGCGCCGGGCCAGCCTGGCCTCACCCTCTGTGCGTACCTCTCACAGCGGTACCCGGCCGGGCCTGAGCCTACAGCACGTGCTGCCCCTGCCCCAGGCCTCTCACACTGACTCTGACCCAGGCTCAGGAGGCTCCTCAGGCCTGCAGCTCAGGGCCCAGCTGCTGCTGCCGGGAGAGGCCACCAGGGACCCCCTGCCGCCTGCCAAGACTTCTGCCGTGGTCAATTTCTTCAACATCGATCCTGTGGAGCCCAAGCTGCGGCTGCATTTTCTTGGTGCACCCCCAAACTGATCTGGGTTTGGAGCTGGTTGGTGGAGAGCTGGACTGGATGGAACCAAGTCCCCGAGTCTTTGGGCCAGCTCTTGGCTGAGGCCAGGAGGCTGCAGGTCTCCTGGGAGCCTTCCAAGCTCCAGTGGGGTGCACTGAGTCAGCCCTCACTGTCCACTCCAGGTCCCCTACCTGAGGGATAATACCTGGCTCTGATAGTTTTCTCCAAGATGCTCCATTGCCAAGTGTAACTTGTGGCTGTGTATAGAGGATGGGTGGTGGGCTCTGGGATTGGGGAAGAGAACCTCTTGGTTCAGATTAAGATGAAGACAATCATCTCGTTTGCACATTCCATCAGACTGCAAGGGAGGGATGCCTATGTCTGCAGTGATGGATTAGGGTGGGGCTGAATCCCTCACGCCTCTTAGTTTATGGGCCATCAGCATCAGGATCCTCTCCTGGGAGTTTGTTAAAAATGCACACTTCTGCCCCCACCGTGGACATGCTGAGTCAGAATCTGTGTGTTAGCAAGATTCCCGATGACTCACGAGCACATTAGTTTGAAGTGCGCTGGCTTGGATGATCCTTACCCTGAGGATGGTGTGCCGGACAGTTTGTGGACAGGCCAGCCGCTCAGGATGCATGTGGCCTCACAGGAAACTCCTGAACCTGGGAGTCAGGCATAAATTTGAATCTCTGCTCCACTGCTTACTAGCTTTGCACAGGTTACTTAACCTGAGCCTTTAATTCCACATGCAAAATGGGGTAAGGATGCCTGCCTCTTGGGCTGTCATGAGAGTTAGGACAATGTTCATAGGATGCCTGGCACCTGGCAGGTGGCCAGGAGGTGGTATGTGCTACTGTGATGACTCCTGGCCATCCCCAGCCCCCTGGCCTCTGCCCATGGGCCAGGAAGGGCTATTTGTTCCCATTTCCCCACCATCTTCCTTCTCTTCTTCAGCCCCGTCCCTGCTCCCAGGCTGCTGCATTGCCTCTCCTGGGGCAAAGGGGCAACTGGTGGTTTCTTGCTCAACATCTGGGGTGGGTGTCCCTCTGCCTTGGGCTCCTTTGGATCTGAAAGGAAACCAGCTGAAGGGGACAGAACCTGCCCCTGGCCCTACCTCTTTCTGGCCTTCCCTGGGTCACTGAGGAAAATGTGAGTGGTGGCCACTCAGGTCAGTAGAGTTGAATAGGAGCTGTCCCTGGTGTGGGTTGGTGACCTCGGGAGGCAGGTGAACCCTGGTACAGGGGCCTGTTTTAGTTTTTATTTTGAGGGTGTCTCGGTTCCTACAGTTGACCTGCTGTAGGCTCATTTTCAGTCTGTGGTCTTTCTTGTACTATCCTCCCCTTCCTCCCAGCCCCAACCACATCCCGTCAACACAAACTCCCAGGGGGGCCTTTGCTGCTGGTCTGCCGCACTCCTTGGTGCTGATTAGACTCAACTCTGGCCCTGGTTGCTGGAGGCAGAGGGGCCATGGTGCTTGTTGGGGCTTCAGTTCTGCCCCCAGGCTTCCCCAGATGGACTCTCAATAAACATTAGCTGAAGGCAGTGGCTGTGGTGTGGACTGAATTCGCTTGAGGGGCCATTCAGGCTGGAGAAGCAGCTGGTGAAGTGGGAAGGGGCCCTGGGCACAGATGGCCTGCTTTGCTTTGAGACCTCAGCAAAGTCATTTTCCCTCCTGGAGCCTCAGTTTTCTGTGGGTGACATGAGATTTCGGACTAACGGGAGCAGGAATTCTGTAAATACTTGTCATATGAACAAATACACGTCTCCCTGAGGACCAGTTCAGCTCCAAAACTCGAATTCCTCCTGCCTCTCCCCCTCCCCGCTGCCTCCTCCAGAGCTTGTCAATACTTTCTCTGCCTTGATTTCTCCACCTGCACAAAGGGTGGGGATTATCTCTGGCTCTGTCATTCAGGGACAGTGGGAGGAACAAAAGGGAAAGTTCCCCCAGATGCAGATACAGTAGTTAAGAGCTTGGGCTCTAGAAGTTGACTGGCTGGAGTTTGAGATTGACCGGTGATGTGATCTTGAACAGGTTACCTAACCTCTCTGGGCCTCAATATCTGCACGTGTGAAATGAAGATAATAATAGTAGCTACCTCATAGGGTTGTTGTGAGGGCCAGCTGAGACGATCCATGTAAGTACTCTCTACATGGGAAAAGTAAATGGTAGCTATTACTCTTTATTTTTACAATCATCATCATCTCTGTTCTGCCACAGGAAATCCTTGCCCCGTAAAATTCATTCTTGCCACCAGGCCCAGTTCCTGCCCACACTGCATGCGGATGCAGCATTTACTCACCATGCTCTGTTACAATTATATCCAGGGTCATCATGTAGCACAACTTTGGGGGGTAGTGCCCTTCACATCACGCCTCTGTAGTTGTGCAGTGCCCAGCCTGCACGGCTGTATGTGGCAGATCTGACTGGACCTCCCAGGAGCAGAGCGGGTTGCCTGTTCCCCACTCACATCTGCTCCCCACTTGCGCCTGCTCTGCAGGTGCGTCATTGGTGCTTATTGGCTGGCGGGCAGCCCTGGAGTGGATGGAAGAGTGGGCAGATACCTGGTTTTACTGAGGCCAGGGGAGAGTGGTGCGAGGGAGCCTCAGGCCCCAGAGAGCTACCTGGATCTCCTGATGGACAGCCAGACCCCACAGGTGTGACCTGGAGTACTGGAGGCCCATGGCTGATAGTCCTGGGCCTCTCAGCTGTGCTTGGATGACTTTGCAGGGGTCCGGCCTTGCTTCCCCAGAGAGAGACCGTCATATCTCTACAATTTTCCCTCTTTTCAATTTCTTGCTTTTCAATGCCAAAGCCTTTGATTTAGGAAAGGCACTGCTGGAAATTCTTCAGAGCTCACACGGGGAACCTGGTGGAGGTGGGTAAGAGAGCGCTGTAGATGCAAATCTGGGAAGACGGCTCAAGTCCCCTTTTGGGGTCAGTCCAGCCCTGGGCAGGGCCCCTGGATCTCACTGGCACAGCTGGGGCAGCCCAGTGGGTTGGGGCCCATGCCATGGCTGCAGATCTGGGAGCTCTCAGTAGGGCTGGCAGCAGCAGGAAGGGAGGCCCCTTCAGATTGGTCCAGCCTCGTTGGCACCTGGGCTTGGCTGGGGTCAGTGGATGTGGCCACTGTGGGTGTGTCTCTGGGTGTGGGACCCTGGCTTTTCCTATCCTGGTCAGTAGTCTTGTCTGATGAGGAGGCGGCTGCTGCCTGGTGAGGCTCCTTTTGAGACAGGCTGCTGGGGGCCAGCAAGAGCCCCTTTTCGTCCCAGCCTGGCTTGGTGTGGATCCCCACGGCCTTCAGGATGACATCCATCTGCTTGGCATAGTCCAAGTGTCCACCGACCTGCAAGAGGACAGTGAGTGAGGGTCATGGTGGGTGGCCAGAGCCCAGCCCGCCCTAGGCCCTAGGCTGAGCTCCCTCTGCCTCTAGGTTCAAGGTGGCTCTAGAACTCATTAACTAAAGATGAAGGAAGTTTCTCTACAAAATCTGGGTCTTCTGGGGGCAGGAAGGAATCTCTTGACAGACAGAAAGTTGGAGCGGAAGTTCTCGTTCTCTGCCTGCTGCCTTAGGTTACAGCAGAAGGGCTCTGCCGCTCACCAGCTCTGGGGCCTTGGGCAAGCCCCTTTATCTTGTTCACCTCCACTTGCCTCAGCTGTAAAATGGGGACAATAAGAGTGGGTACATCAGAGAGCTGTTGTGAAGATTCCCCCAGGTAAAGCCCCCAAACTGGAAATAGAGCTATGGCGCAGAGTGCAAGGCACCTTCTACAACTTACTCTCTCCCTTTTCCGTCAGTCATTAGAATTCTGATTTATAGCTGGGTACATTCTCCGGCCTCCCTTACAGCTAAGTGTAATGTTTTGACAAGTTCTGGCCAATGAGATGAAGCAGTAGTGTTATGTGGTGCTCCCTGGAAGTCTCTTTAAAAGGCGGCATATTCTTCTTTTCCCCCTACTTCCTTTTTCTTGTGGGCCGGAACTGAGACATGATGGCCAGAGCTTAAGCAGCCTTCTTGGGCCATGAGTTGGCTCACAAAAGTCTACTTGCTTGCTTGCAGGGGAGCAAGACAGAGGGAATTTTGGCTCCTGAAGACTGTGGAGCTACCATACCAGCCCTGAATGGCCTATTTTGGCCTTTTTTTTTTATATGACAGCATCAACTCTTGTATGTTGAAGCCACTTCAGCTGGGCCTCTGTTATATGGATCTGAATCTTCACTAAGACAAGGGTCAAGAACTCAGAAGTGCCCACCTCTTCCTTCGAGAATAGAGACATCTCATTTTTGTGTGGGATTGTATCAGTGAATGAAAAGTAGGGGTGTGGTTAGAATGCCAGATGCCTAACTGTGATAGTAAACAATGCTCGACACATAGTAGGTTCTTAATGCATTTCAGAAAATGAACTTATTGGACATACTCCTTGACTGGTGTTGGCTGCTAATTATAGTTGAAGAAACTGAGCCATAGAGAAGAAAAGCGACTTGCCCAAGGTCATAGAGCTAGGACGTGTCAGAGCTGGAATTCGAATCAGGTCTATTCTCTTCAGAGAAAATCAGGGAGAGGAGACTTTACAAATCATTCTCATCTTACAGATGAGGAATGTGAAGTCCAGAGAGGGCTGGTGGTTTGCTTAATGACACACAGCACGTGAAGACGCAAGCCATGTGCTGTGCTTGAGATGCTGCACGCAGAGGCTGCTTAGTGCAGATCTGCTCCCTGCAATGGAGCCTGTGCTCTCTCAGCCGTCGATCTAGGAGGTCTGCTTTAGTGTCAAAGGCAAGCACAAGGCAGCACATGCCTTTAAGGCCGAAGAGGAAGGTTTTGTTTAAAGAGAAGATAGGAAAAGGCTGAGGAGGCTGGCGTGGGAAATCCTAGGAAATAACACTAAGGCTTGGCTGGTACCATCTGCATTTCCATTTGAATCACAAATCACACTGGGTTATTCAAGTGATTTTTTTTTTTCAAGAAAAAAGATAGTTCTCTGTACAGTTTTGTTATTTTATCATAACCAGAACCTGCCTGCATCTTGTTCCTTTCTTTACCAATTCCTTTAA